ACTTCGCTTTGCTTCGCTTCTGATCATTTATAATTAGTAAAAGAAAACTTGATTTCTATCAATGGAGTCTTGTGGTTTTCTTTCCTGATTATCCAATGAAGAAGTGCTGACAATATGTCTTCTACTGCAAGGTATCTACACAATCTAAACTATTATGGGCGGGCCTTTTCCAGAGCCTGTTTTGATGCCCTCCCATTAATTCTACTAGGAGGAAAATTTAATAAGCTTATTTGCAGAGAGTTTGCTTTTGCTGCTGCAGGGAGATAGAAATTCTTTCTCATATTTTCATATAGTGTCTCAAGATGTACTCTGATCATCCCAATTATTTCCAGATACAAGACGCACACTGATAAATTTTATGTTTATTATTTTTAAGGGATGCTAACCCCATACTCATACAGTGGGTGGCCAAATATCTTCACCAGCAGTGGGTGCCACCGATTTGCCTCATGGGTGCTGCCCACTTTCTTTGCCACACACTCGCCCCTTCCAGGCATGCGCCTGGCCTTCCGTGCATGTGCTTTGCTCACACACACACCTTCCATGTATGCGCCCAACCTCAAAAATAGGATGGGATAGAGCTGGGGCAGAGGGCAGGCCCACCCATGATTTCCGCTACCGGTTCAGGCAAATTGGTGAAAACCAGCTGAATGCCACCTCTGATCTTTATCATGTTATACAACTGCACAATTTATTTATATATGTCACTTTATTGTCCTTTTCCCCCCTTTCCCAATAACAATACCCAACTGTTATGTCAACCTATATTTCTTTTTACCATAAAATCTGATCAAAGACCCTTACAAAGATCTTTAATTTTACTGCGAGACAAAAAAACAAGTTGCAGCAACCTACAGAGAATAAGGAACGGCTAAGATTTTTAAAAGGAAGAAAAAATGTGCAGCAATTTTCATAAAAGTAAACAAGTTGCTTGAGAAATAGCTGTAAAGCTGTAAAGTCATAAACAAGGTATTTCCAGCAGAATGACTGGAATTAAAAATAAATTTGAGGAAATTATTTGGAATGGAATTTACAGGAGGGAACACTGTAAGAGTTATTTTAGAGATTTAAATAGCAATGAAAGGGATACAAAGTGGAATTATGCCAAGAAACATGTTTCTGCCAGGAAAAAAAACTGAGAAACAAAAAACTCATAAATTTTCAGAAATAGTAAGGCTATAGGTGAAAATGATGTAACTGGCAAAATATTAAGNAGCACCTGTAGGACAATCATGACTCTGTGGATGCTGCAGTGGCTGCAATTACAAGGATCCAGTGTAAGACCCCTCCAGTGCTGTTACAACTTTGTATGGTCACCAAAGAAGTTTCTACCAAAGATAGTAAATGCATCTTATGAAAAAGACAAATGACCTTGGATCTCCAAATGCCAAAACACTGACTATACAAATAACAGCAGATACGTCAAACGCATAAAGGCAAATAAAAAGTGTCCCATTCTAAAGTTCATTTAAGTAGACAGGTAAATGTGTTTAGAATTCAAGTTATAAACACATAGGGGTCAAAATCCAACACAGTTCTTTCAAGTCCTGAGTTTCTAAGTGTAATTAATTCTGAATTCGTTTATAATCAGAGACACAAAGTGAGATACCAATAAGATATTTTAGTTGCATTCTGAAGTTAATTTAAATATAACAAATGAGGTTATTCTCTAAACAACTTTCTTCTGTCAAGTTTCTTAAATGTAATGAACATTTTTGGAAAGTTTTACCAACTTGTTGCTATCTTTGCTGACTTATGCAATTGGGGAGGATAGAGCAGGTATTTGTAGCAGCTACCCACCACGTTATCAGCTGTTTAGATTTTTGAAGGATTAGAAGGTAGTTAAGACATCAGAGAAATCTAAAAGCCGTTTAAGCTTTTTTCCAGGCACAAGAAGCTGCTGCTGCTGCTGCATCTTCTAAAACAATGTACTTTGAAATACATTTCATTGATCATCACTGATGAGTAAGCAATACTAGCCTCCAAATTCTGCATTCTTTATCCTCTATGTGATCTGGCTGACCAAATGTACTGGAAATGGAAATTTTATTTATTTATTCATTCATTCATCACATTTCTACACCACCCATCTCATCTAAGTGATTCTGGGCAGTTTACAATAAAACCTATGATGAATCTGATTATTTCCTGCTGGAACAATGAACCTACGAACCAGAAGAGATTAGAAAAATATTGCAAGTGTTCTTGCTTTTCATTAATAGTATATTTTGGAATGGCGGTCCTGCTGACTTTAAATAATTGAGATTCCCTCTCCCAGACTGGGATTTCTAAATGTGCTGTAAATGAAGTCAAAACAGCTTAGGACATTAGTAGAAGCCTTGCACCAAACTACCTGGAGTGGGTTTGAGGGAAAGGAAAGCCCACTTAGAAATCTTTTCCCCCCTGGGTCTCTGTTCTGACCCCCCCTCTTCACACACCAAAGCACGCCGAGACAAAGATACTTCAAGGATTTATTAACACACAGACTAGCCCTTGGCAGCAATCCAGCACAGACCAGACCTTGGCAGCAATCCAGCACAGACCAGACCTTGGCAGCAATCCAGCACAGACCAGACCTTGGCAGCAATCCAGCACAGACTAGACGTTGGCAGCAATCCAACCTGCCAAG